TAAGTACCATTTATAGTTCTGACAGTGCTGGGATAAAACCCTAATAACAATAATTATTCCAAAACTGATCTCCTGGGCACCAATCAGGTAGAAAGATCACATGTGACTGGTGCTGCCCATGCGGTCCAGTAGCCATACTGCTATGAAGCAGTATCTTGCAATAAGGAATGACAAGAATTATAAATGCACATGGCCTAACTCATTGGTTTTGGGGTAGTACTTACACACAGTTCCAGAACAATGACTTTACCGAGATAAACATCGTCTTTCAAATACTTTTTTTTTGTTCTTCCTTCATACTGAAGGTTGTCATGCTCTATATCAGACTTCTCCAACTTAATACCTGCCATAGGGTATCTAACTTCTGCCATCTCTGACCACTGGCCATGCTGGTTGGCACTGATGAAAGTTCTAATGCAAAACTGGAGAGTACAAAGTTGGAGAAAGCTGCTATATACTATTCTTGATTACCAGTGCCTGTAGCTGTCTGGAGGAAACATCAGCATTAGGACCCACTAATATAAGAATGCAGTAAATGACCTCTCCTTATGACAGCTGATATATTTATCTAAGACCCTTTTAAAATAATTATGTATTTAGCATCACATAGCATGTATCAGTGATTTTCCAAACCTGGTCAATTAAATACTGAATGCAGTATTTGCCTCAGTCATCATTTAAGAAAATATGTTTGGCTGGTTCATAATAAACAGTTTAGTCGAACCATGCCAAAATCAGTCTGAATAGTTATAAATTATTATAAATTAGAATCTGATTCTATGGTATCCAGGATGATGTCTGGAAGGCTGTTGTGATACACCTTCCCTTGCTCAGAGAGAGTGTCCTGCAGGTTGAGGAGAAAGTTTAATGTAGAAACCTCCTTGGTTAGGTAGTAGAAAGACCTGCCACCATTGCTCCACCACTATCAAGGCTCTGGTGGCAGTAGGAACTAATAAGGGGTGTTTCTCCTTCCGTTCCTTTGAAAAGTATAGTGCGAACAGCACCAGCAATGAAACTGACATAGTGGCTTCATTGTGAACAATAACACATTAAAGGAATTCACTCCCCACCTTGTACCATGCCTGGCAGGGTTTAAAATTTGATGAGACTTCCACCAGATTCTCCCTCTACTAACCGAGAGGACTGTAACTGCCAGTGAGATGTAGGGATGTCATAGAAAATATTTTTCTGATCTTGAAAAACACAAAGAGCATGAGGATGGGGAGCACTGCACATTATGTAGTAATAGTCACAATCATTTGTTTTTACTCTAAAGTTACATCAATATTTTTATCACAGAAGAGGTTCTCCTTTGGGAAGCTTTACATTCTACTTTTATTCGGAACCTGTTCCCAAGGTTATAGGTGGCTAATAAACTCATGTAGAACATTCCAAAATCCAATCCCTGTCAACTTCAACTAAAGAAAAGTTCAGGTATCAGGGCTGAGGAAGACTTCTGAATAGAAACCTTCAACAGCTGCTGCCAGTCACAATGGTCAGTAACAATCAGACATAACAATAGTGTGATGCAGTCTAAAGACATTTCACATGATCCAATATGAAAAAATAATTCATGGGATGTGACGTTTTAATTTTAAAAATATTGTTATATTTTTGAAAAGCATCAAATGATTAAAATAATAAAATACCTTATATTTTTGTTTGTTTAATAGTTCAGGGTGAAATAAGAAAGACACTTTTCCCAGCTATCACCAAACTTAAAAATTCAATTAAAATATTACATTAAGCCAAATGTATCTGGTGCATCTAAATGTTTTCAAATAAAATTAGCTTGGAAATCTCCTTACTATCTAATACAACAAGAAAAAATGCTTGATTTCCCCAGGCAGGAGACAGACTAATAGCATAGTCAGGCATCTTTTAAGTGGCTGCTGTATTTTTAATTGATCCTGCTAGCACACTTAATGGGCAAATACACAAAAAATTTAAGGACATAGACTTGCGAGTCGCAGATCTTTTACATTAATGGTACAATCCAACACAGAAATACTCAGAAGTAAACCATACTGAGCTCAGGAGTGCAGTTTCCAAAGAGAGTATCAACAGATGCTTTTGTCTAAATGAAATGGTAAGTATTGATAAGATGATACAGTGCATAACCTAAATATCCCTCAGGTATTAAAAATAGCTGCTCAGAATTTCCTCTTCTGATCATGTAGCCAAAATTAACTGTATGAGTTTATATAACCAGGAATGCAATTTAATTTGTCACAGCTTTACAGACTATACACATATTACATCAAATATGAAGATTACATAAGAATGTAGGCAGCAATAAACATGGTCTTTAAGTAATCCTTACTAGCATTTAAACAGGAAAAAAGACCTGTAAAAAACAATCATTTCTAAATAACATCTTCTTATGTACCATATCAAAACATGTAAGAAAATCAGAACACAAGGTTGGCATAAAAATATTACATTTTTGGAAGGAAAATAAGTGGAAGAGTAGACTGCACAACAACCGCACAACAAAAGGACCGGTCCATACACCGGTTGCATCTGCAGGGCTCCAGATTTTTCCAAAAGACACAGTGGCATCATAACTTTAAGACAGATTGTTTACTGATACTGGAAATGGCTTGCACACTCCGTTCAGCCCTGAAAATTAATTAATTAACCCACAAAATGAAGTGAGAAAGAGGCTATTGAAATATTTTACTTAGCAATTGTATGCCAGCTTGTAACAATTACTCACAAAAAAGTCTGAAGGATGGCAGGCAGTGATACTAAAAAAAATCAATCCAGAGTAGATCAAGGCAAGACAGACCCTTTCAATCTCAAAACAGTTGGTAAAGATCTTATTCAAGAAGTTGTGTTCATAGCCAGGCTTAAAAGGGGGATGGGAAGAAGGGAAAAGACATTTATACATAAAAACAGAAAGACAAGACTCTAAATAAAATACAGGGAGTCTTATAATTTATTTAAAACATTTTTGAAGTACTTACATGTCCATGTTTCCCAATCTACCCACATCTTTGCCTTTCAGTAAAACTGGAATCATCTATACTGGTTCTTAATATAGTATGCATTGATACTGATCCTTAGACTCTTCTCCAGGTGCTTCACCTAATGAAGGAAGACCATCAGCAGCTGGCAGAGAGATGGTCTTTCTGGTTGTGACACAGAGCTTATGGCATACCCTCACTAGAAAGGCTTACCTAGAACCCATGCTATTTTCTTTTCCTTTCTTTTTTCTTGATTCCAGGTCAAGATATTTTAATCTTCCATGCTTTGAAAAAATGTAAAGATCTTTTATTTGATTTATACCCTGTTCTCTACAAAACTATAGCACTAAATGTGGCTGATAAATGTCTGCTGTTGTCTTTATGCTTACTTTGCATATTCTGGTTGGTTTTATTATTTTACTACTTGTCATTTTAACTTTTATAATTTTAAACCTTCCATTTTTAGCTACATAGAGAACATCTGTTATTTAATTAATTTCAGGTAAATGTAGCAGGATATTGATTGCACCTATTTCCATTTCAAATCTACATAAATTGGTTTTTTTTTCCTTGGGTGAAAATTTTGACTAAGGTCCTAGGTCTTCATTAAATAAAGCACAAACACCTGTCATGTCTTCTAAAAGACATTTCCTTCCACAACCGCCTTGCTGGTAAAATCTTAATCTAAATTTTGCAGTCTCTGCAATATCCCCATATTCATTGATATCACAGTCACAATCCACTTGCTCCTCTGGGATTACAGTATACTGAACGCTAACAAATCAACAGGCCTTTAGCTAAATCACTATTGATAATTTGAAAATTAAGCAATTTCCCCCCTTCACACTTTCAGCATTCCATCTGTTACCCACAACCCATGCCCTCAAAGAGGCTGAGCACGGGCTGTCTCCAATAACCCCATACTCAGAAATTATAATCTATCAGATCTTCCTGACAGCACATCACAGAACAACCATGCATCTCCATAAGAGTGTCCCTAAGGATGCAGCATAATGTCCGCTGAGGTGGAATATCTCCCTCCCGAGCGCGCGCACGGGCGAGCGCGCACACACATGCACAAAGAGAAGGAAAAAAAGAAACAACTACTAAAGCATTCAAGAGAAACGGAACGCTGCTAAGTGCATAATGCTGACAGCACGTACGCTAACACTAACAACACCAATGTGCTTCACTAGGCCTTCCCAGACACTGCAGCCCGGCAAAACGGAATATAACCTATATAATATATAGGGAAAATACCTACAGGATCAGCAAGAGAAGAGGAATGTGCAGTACAGGGCCTCAGCCATTTCCACCCCTCCCCTTATGCATCCCTCCGTATTTCTCCACAGGCGATGCAGCGTCTTCCTGCTACTGTATACTGATTTCCTTACTTCTAGTCCCTGACTAGTATTGTTCTCTCAGATTTTTGTTTTGTTTTGTTTTTTTTTACTTGTTCAGGGTTTGGCCTCACACCGCATTTCAGCTCCCCTTTAGCTCACAGTGGGGGCTCCCCACGCCACACACCGGTTCAATGCGGAGCACACAGCCTACATCTCTGTGGAGCTTGTCCTCGCAACGCAAGAGCCACGACTGCAATTATAGCTCAGGCTGGCATGTCTTCCCCAAATCTGATCATCGTCTCAACTTCCCCGGTTCCCAGTACAGCTAAGGCACCCATGGGAAAGCCTACCGTGGCCCGCTCCTTAGCTTTCTCATTTGAGCAGAGCAATCCCCATCCCTTCCCGCAGGTCTACATCCGTGCTCGCTCCCGCCATCAGCAGCCGCCGCCGCCGCAACGAGGTGGACACGTCGAGTCCGGCCGGCACCGTCGCTGCAGATGTGGCAGCTGGCGGAGACAGACGCGCCTTCCCACATTTCATGCGCGGAGGGGGCAGCAGAACCAACCCCATCGTGCCTCCTTTACGCACGCACGCCCGCCCGCCCTGCCCCAGGGAAATGGATTCACAGGCAAGAAAATGATGAGGCTACTCAGGCACCTGGAGAAATCCACGCCCCAGTCAGACTTACCGCCCAAGCTTGCCCCTGTTGGGTCTTCTTTCCTCCCGCAGCGGCGCTTCCCGCCGTCGCCCACCAAGCCGCCTCCAAGCCCAACTGCGGGATGTAGCCAGCCTTCCGGAAACGCTTTCCCAGCCTGCTGCGCTTTCCCCAGGAAATAATTCCGGCCTCTGGCGGCTCTTGCTGCTGCTGTGGCGGCGGCGGCGACTGCTCCTCCTCTTCTCCCTCCTCCCAAAGCAGAGTTAGGAAGCAAGACAAACAGGAGCCGGGAAGCTAGGCTGGCTTTAAGGAGAGGGCGACGTCCTCTGGCCACTGCCGATCCTTGCAAGGAGAGGTTACGGAATCGGGTGCAGCCCCGTCGCCCTACTGCAGATTTTGGATCTTGATCGCCGTCCTCCGGTCCCTAACAGACCAGGGCTACTAGCTCTGGGTTGTTGGTTTTTTCTTTATTAACTGAAGATTGTTCAAGATGTAAACTTTTTAAAATAATAAATCGAGCCTTTACGCCCGAGATTTTCCTATCAAATTCTCGAAAATTAATTCCAAAAAGGCATTGGCTTTGAAATAGTACACCGTTTCAATTGCTATAGCATAGAAAACAAGGAACATATATCATGGTGTCTTATGCATGAATCAACACTATTTCTGCTACGGATACGTTCTTTTCCCTCTCCTCCTTTTCTGTATTCCTCTGTATCTAATTCGAAATGATCCCAAGTGTCAGCTGTGGCACCTCCAGTCTAGCCCACCATGGCCTTTCCTGTGTAGGAAGCTGTTACTCCAAGCTGGTGACAGTGAATGATGGAAGCGTCAATCTAGCTATTCCTGGTTCCTGACTGTTTATTCCTACTTTGCAGCCCCCACCTTTGATTCCTGGTGGAATGAATAAAGACACTTTCCCACTCTGAGATAGAAATGTATGCAGAAATTCTTAATCATTCCCAATATTCAGACACACTTCAGTGTTAACAAACACAGCCCAAGATGGGCCTGTACTGCTGAAAGTATGGATGAACAAGGCAGAATCCATTGCTATTGTTGCTATGCATCTCTGATTTATGGTAACCCTATGAATGAAAGCCCTCCACAGTCCTATCCATGACAGCCTTATTCAACTTGTAAATTCAAGGCTGTGGCTTCTTTCATGGAGTAAATCCTTCTCATATCTGATATTCCTTTTCTTGTTTTGCCTTCAACTTCCATAATTGTTTTCTCCAGGAAGTTCTTCCTTTTCATGATGTGTCCAAAGTATAATACCCTCAATTTTGTAATTTTCACTTCTAGGAAAACGTCTGACATAATTTAGGAGCCACTTGTTCCTCTTTCTGTCAATCCAGGATATGTGTAAAGCTCTTCTCCACCACCACACTTTGAACACATAGATTTACTTCCTGTCAGCTTTCTGCACTGTCCACCATTCACATCCATACATAGTGATTAGGAATACAATAGCATGGATTATCTGGGCCTTGATCTTCAGTGAAATGTCCTTATACTTTATTATCTTTTCTAGTTCCTTCACTGCAGCCCTTCCTAGTCTCAGTCTTAACATTTCTTGGCTGTGGTCTCTGAATTGATGATTGAGCTCAGGTAAAATCTTCCACAATCTCAATTTCTTCACTGTTGACAGTAAAGTTCTGTAATTCTGTATCCATGAGGGTTTTTCTTAGTGTTCATCTGAGGTCCCATTTTTGCACTTTATTTTTTTAACTTTCATCACAAGTTGTTTCAATTCATTGCCACCAGTAATATGCTATCATTTGCATATCTTAGAATATTTATGTGTCTTCTGCCAATTTTCACTCCTTCTGCTTACCCTAATCTAGTTCTTAGGAGTTCACTAGGTACAAAAAAAAACCAAGTTTAGTCTGCACCACTGAGTATCCTCTTTTATTTTTTCCTATAAAATACAGCAGTGCACTTCAAAATAGCATTACAAAAAAGCAAAACATGGCCACTGTTGGCAGGAATATCATGAGGATGTTTTCCTTCTCAAAGCATGCTTTAAGCCTTTGAGTGCATCAACTGGGTTACTGAGACATAATACATTAGTCCTATTCATTGGAAGTTCCACTGAAAGGAATGCCAAATTCCCACTGAAGTAGTTGGTAAAATGCCTATTTGGTCAGACCAATGACATTCCAAAGCTGCATATTGCCTGGATGCTTAGAAAGCTGATACTCTCAGCAGCTTTGAGATTAGAGAGACCCAGATGCCAGAATGGAATAGGGTAATATATTGGGCTTGGTTCGGATAAACATGAGTGCAGATCTTTACTTCACTATAAAGCCTAGAAGGGTGTGATTTTATGAGTGTGATTAGTAATAATAGAACTTCAGCCAGAGTTAAATTAAATATCATGCACATGCATGCGCACACACTTATTTTTCATGTGTAAAGCAAGAAGTAAAGGTTTTATGAGGGCACATGAGCAAAAGGAACTAAACACTAGAACTAAACTGAGCCTCACTGCACTCCATTGTCTCAGGCCAGCTTACTTCTGCTCTCAGACTCAGGCTGGGAAACATTACTTTGGGTGACAGAATCTCTTACCTATTCTATACCCTAATGTTGCCGTACTGATATAAAAACCCTTTATTCCTTTGTACAGTGTACTGTTAAAAGAGGAAGCCAGTCCAGAAAACTTGTGCTATCATCTCCTAAAATGACTACTTTAGACCTTTGAGTGCCCTGAAGGAAGATGGGCTGCCTCAGCTCTTCAAGAAGTGTCCAATCAGCTTGATTCTGATTCTGTGGGTCTTTGCAACATTTGCTTCAGTATTTAAAACTTGTAAACCACCCTGGGTGCCTTAGCACAAAAGCAGTATAGAAATTTAGTTGTTAAATAAATCAGTACAAAAGCCTGTATCTGTAAGGTTGCAGGCATGTGAATAAACAAAGATGAGCACCCAATCTGCCACTCCCCAATGTCCAGTTTGAGTCTATGGTCCTGTAAGTTAGTGAGATGGAATTTAGTCTGTTATTTTCCAAAAAGCATATTTCTTTAATGTACTAGCTTAATGAATCATCTGTTCTTTATGACAGATGCAGAAGAGCTTCCTCTGCATATTGCTGCCCTCTGAGCCTAAATTCTGAGAAGGCTGGCACACATATTGATGAAGAGAAAAGACTGGTAGCCATCTGAAACTGCCAGAAAAGCAGTAGCTGCTGTCTCCGGGCCCTGGAAAGCCATCTGACAAAATGGTGTCTTACTCACTACTCTTGTGTCTCATTCTTTTGAAAGGCTTCTTCCTTTTAATATTTTTCTCTCATAACTCACTGCTCCTATTCCATATATTTGAAATTGGAGTGTTAAACCTTTCCTTATCCCTTTTTCTTTTTTCAAGGGTGATATGAGTTGATATTGTGCAGAGGATTGTTTTCTTTCCCTCTTATTTCCTCTCTCCTTGCTTTCTGGTTTATTGCTTGAAATGTTTTTCCTTTCCATATTTACATGTTTGTGGCAGATATCTGACCTAGAAAAACAGCTCTAGTTAAACCAATAAGGAAAGATATATAATTCCATGCCCAGTTGCACTTTCTGTGGTTGGTTCAGGAGAATGTATAGGTAATGTCCATAAGTTACACTGCATTCCTTTGTATGCCTACTCATCAGCACATCCGATTGAGTTCAATAAGACAAGTTCTGTTCCATTCAGCTGTTCAGTCATGTCTGACTATAAGCGATCCTATGGGCCAAATCTCGCCACACTTTTTGAACCAGTGCCACCTCTTTCAGCTGAACTATGCGCTGGCCCACAACCTCTTTGATCGAATCTAAGCACCTCACTCTTTGGTGACCTCGCTTTCTCAGGTCAATAAAACCCTGGCAAACATGTATAGGATTGCAGATTAGACAGAAAGTACACAATGCTGGATCAATGACAGTACTTCAGAATGATGCATTTTAAGTATTTTCAGTCTGGCTATTGGACATTCACCTCTCATTAATACAAGTCCTGTTCCCTCTGTTGTCTACCAGAGACACTGAATGCATGGTCAAGTTAGAGAAATGTTAATATAACATTTCTGTAGCCGAGATGTCTATATGAATATAAGCTACAATGTTCTCCAGAAAGAGATCCATGGAACTGCATTTTTCTAGTTCCACCCCCTTTAAAGTGGATTAGAATACAATACTATGGCCTCCACCACTGATGCACAAGCAATTATTTTTGCCACTCCATACTTGTACTCTATATTTTGTCTAGCTAGTGGTTTTCAGCCCTGGATGAAGTGCCATAGAGGGAGAGTGTAGGAGGCTGAATGCCATTCAAATACAGTGTAAGCAGTTGACTTCAACCTCCCCTATCACAAAGTCAGAGAGGCAGCCAGTGTATTTCTTTTCCACTGACTGTTAGGAGAACAGGGGCTGTGGGACTTCAGAGCAGGGACACTGTTGGGAGGCCATAGGACTGCACCCTTACTATCTTAAAACGCTTTTCTAAAAATCATCTGCCACCCCTTTGCTTTTATAACTGGAAAAGTAGTCATAGTAATAATGTTAGTCTGTTCCAGGAAAATCAACAAATTGGACAGCATCCTCAAGAGCTTGTGCCAGAATAAATCTATTGAAAGTTTAAAGTACCACACAGCTCTTTGTTAATTCAGTATTTATTATTTTGGTTTGGGTCTGATGGTTTCATCTTCCCTTCTGCATAATTTAGGACCATATACATGTTTTAGACAATGACACCCAGCATTCCTAGCCATTGACCATGCTGGATGCGACTGATGGCAGATAAAGGTCAAAACATCTGGAGTGACCCACATTGGGGAAATATGGGTTATCCCATTTCTTTAGACTCTAATAAAATAAATGCATAAATATTTTTACTACAGAAACTGATCTTGCAAGTTGTCACCACCTAACATTCCCTACTTTACAGTTTTATTTATTTATTTAAAGTTTTATATGCCGTTCCCTTGCTACATAGCCTCGGGACGGCTCACAGAAATAAATAAAACAATTACAATTAAAACCTGGAAACACACTGGCTGCACAATTAAAATCTATAAATATTAAACATTATCAAAATACTGTTTGAATAAAAAGGTCTTGGAAGTTTTGGAGCACATTCATGCTGGCACAATTTATGCTAATAGTTGCATATATTTACATACATTTCCCAAATCCAAAATAAATATGTCACACTCCAGTGCCTTCTGTTTCTGAATGTCTTACAACTTGAAACCGGTCTTCTTTTAACTGTGAACAGAATAGTAGGTAAAACCAACCAGAATTTGGCATTAGCTTCAGTGACCAGGTAAAATAGCATGGAGGCATATCTGTCCCATGGAACATCAGATAGTTACCCCAGATCTATAATGAAAGGTATTTGTGCTGTGAGACTAAATCCTAATTACCTCTAATTTAAGTGAAGATTAACTTGCCCTGTATGATGTATTCATAAGTTGGCAGAAAGTAATCTTCAGTTTTTTTGGACTTCAACTATCAGCATTTCTGACCATTGCCCATGCCAGCAGGGCCTTCTCGAAACTGAACAACTGGAGATCAACCATCTCCTCACATCTTACGAGGTGGATAGCTTGGATATGTTTGCCTTCAATTGTTCTCAGCATCAGGGTCTTTGTCAATGAGTCCTTCCTTCTCATTAGATGGCCAAACTATTTAAGCCTCAGTTTCAGTAGCTGTCCTTCTAGAGAACAATCAGGATTGATTTCCTTTAGGATCGACTGATTTGATCTCTTTGCACTCCATCTGTTCTTAGTACATGACAACCAAAACTGAAGCGATTCCAGGAGAGGAGAGGAGAGGAGAGGAGAGGAGAGGAGAGGAGAGGAGAGGAGAGATAAGGGGGAGTAGTAGCCCTACTCAACTAAGTAGAATGTATTGATAATTAAAACTGCTTAAGATTGAAGCTGTAAATGATCTAGTTAATAATAGCAAGATTTGCTTGCACATTTTTGTGATCTTTTTGTTCTCCTAACTGAAGTACAGTAAACCCTTGTATCTGCTGTTTCACTTAACTGTGGTCTGAAAAAATTAAACACAGTTGGCTCTCCACATTTATGGGGTATATGAGTGCAGGACCCCTGCAAAAGTTGAAAAACTGTGACAAACTCTACCTGCCCACACAAATACACACAACTCACCATTGCCTCCTCTTCTCACCAAGGAAATACCAGAGCAATTTCCCTCCCCAGATGGGCAGGAGCAAGAAGGCATGCTTTGGAGGCCCCCACATTAATCTCCCTAATGGAGATTATATGCAGTTGGCTGAAACACTCCCAAAAAAATCCTATTATTAATGGCAAACTCACAAATAATCAAATCTGCAAATGTTAAACATGCCAAAATTACCTGCTGGTAGTGGAGAGAAAACAAGATGGCCAACATCCCTTCAGAAAATCTGGGAAGACCCCATATTACCCTTGACCCATCCCCACACTTGCTCTTCCCCTCCAAAGGGGCAATACCCTCCATCATCTCAAGGTAAGTATCAGTATGCTCACTCCACAGTGTATCCCAAATAAGTCTCATTTTTCTTGTATTAAGCATCTCCTATTCCAAACTGCTGGTAGTAAAATCCCTGTGCTCAGTTGCCCTTAAATTCAGACTTCTGTCAGCTCTTTAGTCCCAACTGAAGTTGGCAACTCTAGTACCTTATCTCCTGATTACACCATCTCTTTCCTTGTCCCAGTGAGTCACCCACTGATGGTGGTGACACCAAAGCCTGCATCCCCAGAGGTAGCTCTGACCAAAGTTCATTCAGGATAAGGAGACCTTCCCATGTCATTCTAAATCTCCTGCACATCCTGAAAAGGTATCCTTTGCTCCTGTCAATGCCATAATTTTTCACATCACCATCTGTTCCTCCTCCTGCTGTGTTTTGGTATTTTCATCCGTTATTCTAAGAATGCAATTATAGGAAGCAGTTAGTTATTGAATGTATCTGTAGGAACCATTCCAGACCATTTGTCTACTTGGTCCCAAAAGAGAATGTGTTTATCCTTTAGAACAATCTTCCGGATTCAATATCTATCTTAAAAAGTCCTCATAATATATTTTTTCTGCAGTCGCTCTGAAAAATGATTGTTACTTCCTTAAGGTTTTCAGGCAATTAATAGTCATTGTATAGCATTAATCTGTAAAGCCCACATAAAAGTGGCAGGTTTCTTAGAGAGCCGGTTGTTTCATGTCCAAACATTGTTGTGACAACTGGTGCAGTTACTTATGCTATCCTTGTCATACTTTTAAGGTGATACATGGGTAGTCGTGGTGAAACAATATAGGTTACCATTCATTCCCATAATATTAAAGTGTTACTATTATCAAATTCTTGGAGAAGCCAAACTGCGTTGAACACATCTTTTAATTGTATACGCAACATCTTAGTTCATTTTATATTAAATATTCCCTAGTGGTTGGCAAATAAAAATTACCTGGAATTTTATTCTGAAATTATGCTAGTCCCAGCCACCTTGAAGTCTGCTAAAAACTACTAAAGACAATCTGAAGTTACTTCAACTCCAAGGATGGAGTCTATTTCTCCCTCTTAATTTTTTCACTTTACATTTCTTCATTTTCCTCCAATTATCTCTTTCTGGATACGTCAGAGATGCACTTGTTGCAGTGTAAACTGGGCCTATATATCTAATATATAGATATATATGCAATAGATATACAGCAGATATTCTAGCAGATATATATGCAACTGCTAGGAAGAAACCAGTTACTTGCGGAAGCACCACCTTATTATATATGTGTTTATATATTATTTGGATAACGTAATTAAAATGTACACATACCTGTTAAACATTATGACACTTCTCAAACCTTGGTATTGCCTCACATATATTGATCTCTGAAATTTGCCTCTTATCAGTGAACCCTCAAAATAAGGAAGTCAAAGCAACATCTCCATTTTTTTTTCTTCTTCTATTAAATATTTTGATTCTGGAAGGGAGATAAATCTGATTCCAAGGAAATCCCCAACTCTAACTAATTGAATTATGAGCCTGAATCTACAAGGTCCACATTTAATCTGTCCCAAAACATATTTAGTTGGTGAAAGAAAACAGGAAAATCCATTGCTTTTCTTGTGATTTTTGGACACCTTTTGGAATTAAACAGCAATAGATAGAATACAAATCATACAGTTTGCAAGACTAGGTAGAAACTGGGAGGTGAAGATTTTTACAGGCAGAGCTTTTCTCTGAATACAAATGCACCAATAAGAAAAAAGCTTTGCGTTTTGAATGTGTTTGTTATGCACCAGGTAAAGGCATAAGAACCCTGCCAAAAATAATAGCTGGCAACTCTTTCCCAAGAAGTTGCATCCGTTATCGAACTTGCAAGGAGGGTTTACAAAACTTGACGCAAGTTAGAGGCTCTTTGTGGAGAAAAAGCATGTTTTGTATCATCTTGGAGCCCTAGCGTGAAGGTGGGATTTAAAGAGAACCTGTCCCCTGCACCTACTGCAGCGTAGAATTGGAGCAAAAACGTGGCTGCTACATACGGTTTTAAAAATACAGGCATTATTTAAATCTGTATCTAGCACAAATGTATTTCTTAAATTATGTTCACTCTAGGGGCGGCCCAAGGTCCCGTTCCGCATTGGGACGCTGGCATGGGGAATGCAAGGCCGTTAAGATCCGGATTAACCCTTCTGTATAGACCTGGGAGTAAAAATGATAAAGACGACGTAGCTGCTAGACGCATATTTTAAGAAACGTCTGTTGTGTCCCTCGCACAAATCTTGCTCTTGCGGGATTACAAGTATGCACACTTCCAGATTGCTGCACTGCTTGCAAAATAACAAAAACAAAAAAGCAAAGCACTTTTCCTGGTTGCTGAATTGCAAATATCCAATATTAAACAACCTATTGCAGGTTCAGAGCGCCGTAGATGAGCCGTCCCCAAATAAATGGCTTGCTACCGCTACTCGTCGTTAGCGCCCGCTCCACCGCTGCTTTCAGCGGAACCACAAAGCAGTTTGCTATCAACTTTCACTAGCCTTCTGATCGGTGGACCTGAAGATTGTACTAATCCCCAGGGGCGCACGCCGTTCGCAATACAGGCAGTCACCTAATGGAAGCGCAGTCCAAACGCATCGAGGGCGGGGTCCTGGGTGGGGGAGGTGGCTGAAGAGGGAGGACCTACCATTGCTGAGAGTCAGGGGGTATTTGCTGGAAATCAATCCCATTTGGAACGGTTCTGCTTCTGCTTCCCCCCCCTCCTTTGCAGTGAGACAGCTCGATGGCAATATAGTGGTGGGCGGGCGGGTGTATTTTTCCTCCGAGCGCACGGTGGGTCCTTCGTAGGATTTAAGCAGGTCTGTCTCGCTAGTCGGGCTTTGCGCGATTGAGACAATGGCGTGGCAACCTATGGAGATCAATCCCGAGGTAAAGAAATAGGTGCTCTTAATCAAATTGGTTGATTCGGGTGGAGGTTTGTGGGTTTCTGGCAACCTTGTGGGAAATCTTGGAAGGAGGCGTTGGGGAAGGGGCGACAAAAGGTGTGCCCGACCTAGAGTTGCAGTTGCTCTTTCGCATTTAAGCTGGTTTCTTATTCCTGATGATTTGTGGTAACCCAAAGATTGGGGGGGGGGGGGAGGCTGCTAGCAATTTTTTATAAGAAACGTATAAGGTGCAGGTTAGGGAGGGGCATTCTGCTTTTGGATGCTTCTGGAAATAGACGAGAGGAGAGTAAAAACCCTTGTAGGAGGCTGTGAAAATTCTTGGATCTGATGCGGGGACTGGGAGTGCTCCAGACAAAATGGGAGGTGGGCCCCGCCCTTAGACAGGCTGATCTCCTTTTCTCTCTTTCTGTGTTGTAGATGCTGAACAAAGTGAGTGGCCGTCGAGACCTGGGAGGACAAGATGCGGCTTCTCAGGCTGGGCGTTTCCTGAGGCTCCATTTCCATTCATTTAATGGGAAGCTCTTTGAAGAGCTGGGAAGGGAGGCGGTGGCTGCATGTTGCACTCGCTAGCTCATTGGAAGTGGGTGGGCATACGGACGGACAGGTTCGAATGGGAAAGAAGAAAGCATGTTGGGGGCCGGGCGCCCCATCCTGCCAAGGAAGCTGACGCCGACTTGCGCGGATCCTTCTGGAGCTGGGCGACAGGTGGCGCTGCGGCCCCTCGTTTTGTGCTGTGTCACGCAGCAGCCGGCTTTGGTGGAGGGAGGCTGCCTGAAAAAGACCCCTTCCTGTCCGCCTCCTTTTGCCCCAAGCATTTCTTTTGTACCTTGTAGATGTGGGGTTGCAGAGCTTATTGGGCCACTGCTGGGGGATGGCAGCATTCTTTCAGGTCTTTCTACTGCTCAGGTGCTGTGGGGGTGCAAGAGGTTTTAGATGAGCTGGCTCTGAATTGAGGAAAAGATACTCCTTTCAGGCTTGGAATCCTGCACTTTCCCAGTCGCCAAGTCGTGTCTGACCCTTCACGACTCCATGGACAACATTTCTCTAAGCTCTCATGTCTTCCACCATCCCCCAGAATCCACCCATACCCACACCTACCACCCCAGTGACCTATCTAGCCACCTTAACCTCTGCCATCCCCTTCTCCTTTATTTATGGCCACGTTTTGGTATTCCATGAAAATGAAAGGTATTATGGTTTCTATTTGCCATTAGTGGGCAGCTGGATGTCTCAGAAACCGCAAAGCATGGAGGTGCCACCACCATGGCTCAGCATGATTTGGTGAATGTCTGTAGTACTCTACAGGTTGAAATTTCCTGATAAGGCTACTGCAGCTCTATATAGTCCACATAGGACCCTTACAGCAAAAATGCATCTTGGAACTAACTGAGTCATCTATGTCTCAAAGACAAGTTAACCTAGGATACATTCATTTGCATATCTGGACAGAAAAGAAGGTCTATCTAAACATGCATAGTTTTGCATCCTTAATGTATATTGCTTATCCTTAGCACCTTATCTGTAATGAAGATTGTTGAGTTAAACATTCCTGTGACTTTGGGTGAGATGCAGTCCAATAAACCGTTATGTTGGGGCAAATAGACTGCAGGGTTTCTTGGTTTCTGCTAGAATCCTAAGATTTACCTGCCAGATGCTAAATATATACATTTAGAATTTTAAAAATTCCAAGCCCAGCAAAGTTTATGGCCCTTCCATACAAAAATGTGCTTGCAAACTTTATTTAAGCAGTAGAAATGTGTGGTTTGTTTGCAGGGTTTTTTGGAAATTCTTGCCCATTGACCACAAACCACTCAGAGAGCTACTAGTAGATTGAGTTCTTTTATTTGTACACAGGTACAAGGATATACAAATTACAGAATGTAAGGCTATAGTCTTGTCCTTGCTGATTATGTCCAGTACTGTCTTTACCATGCAGGTGCTGTCCCGTTTAGGGGTTGCCCCTGGCTGGCAGTTTGTGGATGTGCTGGGGTTTGAAGAGGATTCCTTGAATGCTGTACCCAGTCCAGCTTGTGCACTGCTCTTGCTCTTTCCTCTTACTGCCCAGGTGGGTATTAAGGGTTCAGAGACAGTGAAATGGTTCAGAATCAAAGAAATAATTACAATAATCCTAAGTAGTGGTCGTTCCATGAAGATGAGCTCCTTGTTTCTTTCTTTAGTAAATTACACTTCAAGGGTCAAAGTTGGCATTGTAATATATCAATCATTTCTGTAAAGTAAGTGCCTCTAGAGAGCTGCTGATCCTCATGTTGAGATTGAGGCCATTTGGAAGTAAGCAGAGATGATTTGTAATTGGCTGTCGTGTGGTGCATCCTACTTAGAGCAGTCCTGAAGGATAAGTGCACTCCTCAACTGTCTCCACTATGGAACAATGACTTCATCCTAGAATGGATAATTTTGTGACGAAGTAGTGTCTCTACAGTAAGAAGATCAAACTTATTTTAAAAATACATATATAGACTAATTTTAACAGAATTGGGACATGATCTTGTAAATGATGACGCCTAAAAACCAGTGCTGTGGCTTCTCATGATGTAATTTTGTTTTCTTCATACCTGTTTTGGCCTTTGCTAGGCACTCAGGGTCTCCCTCCTCTGCCTGCCTATTGTTGCACCATTTTTCCCCTTTGTAGAAACCTTTATATTAAGGGTTGAAGGTATTTCCAGGCTTAAAGAAGGGTATGTTTTTTCTATATAACCATTTAGGTCACATGCAATTGCCTTGGGACGGTCCCAGAATTAAAATACTTCAGCAGGCGCAGGGCTGGAACTTGCTACAAGTGTAGTTTGATCAATCTCAACCAAGTCAGAGTAGTTGGTACATACTCCTTTCAATGTAGGACATACCGCCTGCCTCATAATTGCAGTTAATGCACTCCAGCAGCAAGCAAGCAAGCCAAAGCGTAAAATAGGCAAAATGGCTGTGGACATTCTCCCATGCTTTTGAAGCAGCATCATATTTGTAAAAGGAGCAATTGCAGTGGTAATCTGAAGTTAGCCTGTGGGCAGCAAGTGGTTTTACCAATAAACTAGTAAAATCGAATGGCAACGCATGACTTTCTGTACAGTAACACAATGGAAGATACCTATTTAGTCTTGAAGGTGAGTGTGGTAGATAACAGGTAGTGAAGTATCAGACTTGTCCGATGCTGAAAAATCTGCCTCAGACTTTTGGCTGACGCGTATGTTGAAGCAATCTTATCTGGAGCTTTTTATTTTCAACATACATATTTTATTGCTTGTCTAAACAGATTCTGGACTGCTGAACAATAAAAGAGAGCATAATACTTAAAAGCAGAATGCCAGTGAATATAGGGCTGGTTGCAATAAATGTGCTCAGCAGATAACAGTAGCAGAACAGTACCCTGACATCAAGAGGCAAGAAGTTCCACAGAGTACTTCTGGAGGGCCATAAGATGTTGTCTTACAAAAAGCTTAATTTAGCATGTTTTCTTTCACTTAAACACTGTTCAAAAAGCACTCCCATGTTGTTCCAAAATGCTACAAGTATTTGATGTTTAATGTTTTAGAAAAAGCACATAATGTGTTTCATTATGTGCAATGAAGTCATATTATGTAGAACTTTTATTAGAGTAATTGTAAAAATATAAAAACAAACAGTATGCACTTCCCTTACGTTGTTTAACTTTAAGGCAAATAAATACTAAAAACGGTTGATGCATGACTTAATTTTAGCAACCCAAAAATGTGCAGTACTTCCATTCCACTGTGAGACTTACAACATATGTAATATCTTGCATACATGCTAAGATTATTCAGCTGAACTACCATTAAGTGCTACTTTGAAACTGCCAGACTTGCCTAATGAAACAAGAATTTTAATATTTGTTTGGGAGGAGATATAGAAAAACAAAACACTTGAGAACAAATTCTGCCTCACTGAACTGTTGGGCACACTGATGTTGGCTACCAAGTTGCTGAAATAGGCAGTTGGGCATTAAATGAAATCCTTTGCCTTGTGCTAGGCCTTCAGCTGGGCCTCAGACCCTGGATGTCTGTTTGGCTTCAACTGTATAGCCAATGCTCCAGAACTTTTACTTTGGTATAATGGTGTCAGGGAAGGAAGACTTGCATAATCACTTGAACTTTGCAACTAATGCATTTCTTTGGCCTGGCTCATATTTGTCCTGCACGAATGCCCCTCCTGTGGCAGTGGGATATGTACATATAGTTAAGCATTTGCACCATCATATATGGACAATGCACATTTGTTTTCCTACACAAAATGAGGTATTTGTATGCAAAGTATGCTAACCAAATATCGATTACTTAGGAAACACCAAGTAAATGCTGCTGTCTAATATGTACATTTACAATGTTGTAGCATGAAAACTTCCGAAAAAAGCAGATTGAAGAACTGAAGGGTCAGGAAGTGAGCCCAAAACTCTATTTTCTGAAGCAAACTGCTAGTAACTCCTGTGGAACCATTGGTCTTATACATGCAGTGGCTAATAACCAAGATAAAATACTATTTGGTAAGTACTGAGGATAGACTACCTGCAGTGGGTATACACTTTTACCCCTTTGAAAGATTGATGTAGTCATGAATTCTTGAGGTCACGAAAAAGTAATCTCGTGGTATATTTTAAATTAAGACTTGATTCAAATAAGCAGTGCAGCCTAGATTAGCTAGATTCTGTGCAAGTTGGTGAAAAGGGCCTTGGCACTTGCAGAAAATTGAATAGTTCATTGACTTGAAATTTCTTAGAACATTACCTTGCTATAATGTGTTACTTGGCTGTCAGCTAGACAGTATTTGAAGTCTAAAGAATAGGCTTCTATAAAGTGTTCCTGCACAAGCTTATTTTTACGTACAGCTAATTGAATGCTGTAATTGTAAATTGGATGTTGAGAAGTCTGACTTCAATAATTTGTGTCTGTATAGTCCATTCTTTGAGTTCTGGTCACCATGTTGGATTTTTCTCCCCTCATAATTAGGCTTGTCTCCATTTTGAGAACTTTGTTCTTCATGGTCCTCTGTGCATTCATGCACATGGGCTCTGTGCCTGAGTGTACCCAGAAGATTTAGTAGCTAAGAGCACTTCAACCAGAACCCCTATCCCACCCTGAAATGACATCCATTATTAAAAGAGATGTTCCCACCCTTTCTCTTACTACTTCTTTGATACCCCCACCCTTTGTGGCTTAAGAAATTCTTTCACTATTTTCCTTGAATGTTTTTCCTCTAATCCCTGTGTTCTCAAAAACTTAGTGTATTTATCCATATACCCAACTTCATCCCTTTCTAAAGCTCTTCATGCACAAGCAGCATGTGCCTCGGCAATACTTGAGCTTTTGCTTGATACTTCTACACATCTTGCTGCAAGGAAGATGCCTATTTTAGGGGGAGATGTTCACACCATGTCTTCAGGTGTATTAGTGTACATTTAGTGCAGAAAGCCAAAACACTCTTTTGTCACTGGAAAGACATGCTTCCTTAATCTTAAGTTCATGTTAAGTAACTTTCATCATAGTTTTTAAATTTAAATTTGTATGGCTAAAAGAGAAAAATTAGTATCATACAGTAAGCTTAGGTAACTGGGGCATGCAAATATTGCTGCAAAAAGTGGCATTCTGCCTACCTATACCCCAACACCTTGATTTTTTGCAGATGAAGGGTCTTCTCTAAAGGAATTCCTCACTGTAACAGCTGGACTCTCTCCAGATGAGAGGGCAAAACGTCTTGAAAACAGCAAGGTAAAAGAGTAGGCAATGTGGGTGGAGGAGCCTTAATGGTGCCTAGTGCAGGGTAGCTCTAAAAAATGCTGTTTTTTTAACCTTTTCAGGCCATCCAAGAAGCCCACAATGCAGTGGCACAAGAAGGCCAGTGTCGAGTAAGTGTGATTTAAACATACAGGCTTCTAGGCGTATCATATAATAAGAACTGGTAACTCTTAAAGGAAACCATTGTTGCTTGTAAAGGCAAAAGATGCTATTATAGAATCTAGGATAATGTACTCTTTCCCTTCTCCTTCCAGCCTTGCTGTTTCCAAGTAGACCTGTTGCTGCAGTTCCAAGCTCTGTGAAAATTGTGCCTTTAAAATATGAAGGGGAAATCACTAAGCATAAATGTTCTGGATTTGCATCCTCTTATTTCTCCTTTTTCACCCCATTCCTAGAGTAATCTTGTGCTTTAAAAGGTGCCTGTTTTTAAAGCAGTGCGTGCCCACCTGTGCTGTGTGCTTACAAAAGTTAAGTGGGTCGCCCAACTGAACCTGGGTGGAGAAGGGGCAAGGGTAATGGCTGAAATGATTCACTAGCCTTGTGACTGAGGTGACTGTTCTGACCTTTTTGCATTCAGGTTTCACACATTGCAGGTGAGATTTGTGATACAATTGCATTAACTTTTTTTTCCTGAGCAGCCACTGGGGGAAGGCCTGAATTTTATTAGGTTGGCAATATTGGAGAAGCATGCAAATCTTTCCCCTATGTTTATTTTCCTTCAGCTTTGGTTCTTCTGGAGGGAGAACACAAGACAAACTTAATGTACCTGCTTTTTCCTGCCCCACCAGCATGAAGTTTCATGTGGGGGCACCTTAATCAGGGAAATAGTGTAGGGAAAGTGTAAGAAATGGCCTGTATTGTCTGCTGATCTCTTTCCCAAGGATAGCTGATAGCGGTTTCAGGTAGTGAAGTGGTGGGCAGGAACTCTGGAGAAATGGTTTTCCATTTCTGTAACATACATCCTTACATCTTTAAGTGTATTAAAGAGAACCAGTTGTGGGTTCTACCAAGTGATGTGTAGCTTTGCCCAAAGGTGCACTGCACTTTGTAGAAGGGACTACTTCCAGACAGAGAGCTTGTAGTGCTACCAACCAAAAAGCATTTCAGTCTTTCCCTCCTTAATGGCTTTTTTGTGACAGAGAAGAAAAAAATAAGGAGCACACACAAGCAATTACAAATGGAAGACAGTGTTGTCTGGAGGTCCTGTAAAATTCCATGGATGCCATAAAGGCCTCTTCTGGAAGCATTCATAGGTGAAGAAAATCCAAAAGACAGGAATTCTAAGCAGTGTAACAAAAGCCGCCTACTGGAGATCTGTTTTTTCACTATTAAAATCTAGCAGCATTTGTTAAGATTCCTGAAAAAGTGGAAAATGCATTAGAAGGCTGCACTTCTAGTGCCTAGTATCCAGCTCAACAAGTTAACTCTTTGAATATCATTTGGGTAAATGCGAGTACAGGAGAAAACCTCTGTCCATAGAGCTGCTGATACCTCAAATTCCTTTCATGTCTCAACTCTTGCCATGATCCCCACAAGGAATATTTTTCAACCCAGTCCCCAAGACTGGTGAATTATTGGGGGTTTTCTCTTCTTGAGAACAAAATAGAACAGAAGATTGGGAGTAACTTCTACCTAAGATACTAACAACCTCTGGGGAATTTCCTTGTACATGAAGCTTAAGGGCTTTTATAGCCTATACAGAAGTCAGTGCCAAATAAGAAAGCAACACTAATTTACATATATTAGGACATAAACTAAGGTTAACAAAAGGGGGCATAGAAAAGAAGCTGTTCATTTGATTTAATATTTTCAATATATTTGTTGAAATACCTGTTTCATCCTTTCAATGGCTCTTTTAGATTCTTGCTCTATCTCTTAATAAGCACCCACATTTTTATTTTGCCTTAGGTTGAAGATGACAAAGTGAATTTCCATTTCATTCTCTTTGCCACTGTGGATGGACATCTCTATGAACTGGGTAGGTTTGTGTGCATTGTTTAAAAGCTCATTTAGACCACGGGAAGAAAGTAAAAAGGGCTTCATGGCATCTAAAATTACAGAATTAATACCTTCCCCTCCCTGTCTGAAATGTTCATAGCAGCTGCTGGGAAGGTCACTTGAGTTGCTAACAAAGAGCTGGACAGGCACTTGTTGAGGTGGAGAAAGTCAGGGTTTCCTCACTGCAACTCCAGGCTCCAAAATGTACATCACACAAGAGCTTGCTTGCATATTTGGAGAAACAGTTGAAGTCACGAATTTGCTTTACTTACAGATGGCCGGATGCCTTTCCCTATAAACCATGGAGCTAGTTCAGATGATACTTTGCTGAAGGTAAGCATTCTTGTAGTTAGTGAATGGGTCACTTCTTGCATAATTAAATCCTCAGATTACACTAGTGTGTTTGTGATCTTTAACCTAATAAATTACACAACTGGCTCCATGTATTCTCAAACTAATGGAGATGGACAGGATACACAGGAAATATAAAGAGTGACCAGTTCAGTGGTTTATACTATTTCCCAGTTAAAATTAGAAGCAGGAGTGGCTAAATATTGGGTATTCTTGCAGTTAAACCAGATCAGATTTGTAGATGGCTGAAGTAGTAATCTATAATTCTAGCCATTAGTAAATATACATATAGAAAAAATATATACAAACATTGAGTATAATGGCCAGAACTGGGTGTTCAGCATTCTGTTAATGTAGCTTGCTGACTTGTTGCCATTTACGAAACTGGCAACTCAAAATGTTTTCAACTTCAAGTCTCAGTAATCTCCAACCAGGATGCCCAGTGGTTGAGAATCCAGGGGAATATAGTCCAAAACATTGGGGAGGCATCTGGTTGGAGGACACCGCTTTAACTGGATGTCAGGTACAGCCTCTCCTCATAGCTTGAGAAATTCCTTATTTTTGTCTCTACAGCAGTTGTATTCTTGTATTTATAACACTAAGATGGTACTTCTGTATGTTTTTTTTTTTTTTAAATAAGGCCTCTGCTAAGATCTGCCGACAGTTCACAGACCGTGAGCAGGGGGAGGTCCGCTTTTCCGCTGTGGCACTATGCAAGTCTGCTTGAAGTTGAGGAATTAAAGGAGCCCTGTAGCCCGTCATGGAAAGCAGTTCAAACTTTAGTGCTTTGGTACTTGTGTTTAAAAAAAAAAAAAAAAGCTGTTTTTGGTCTGGAGTTTAAACTATGTTGCTGAACCTCCTGCCTCTTCCCCTACGTACTCACAGCGGCTTCAGCAGCTTTTGTCCAAAAGCCAAGCTCAAACCCGTCAACACTTCAGATGTAAGAGATGTTGGAACTTTTCTTGACTGTAACTTGTTTAAAAATGCTTCATCGGGCTTGACTTGTGCTTCCGAGTTTCTTTAAGTTGTTGTGACTTTGTGTCAATCACAAAAATAAATTTCTTCTTGCTACTCCAAAAGTAAGTGCTCTTTTCTGTGCCTCCTATTTAAAACCTCCAGCTATAAATTAAAATGCAGCAGAAAAAAGGTCAGTATCTAGTCAAGGAACTAAGGCAGGAGTGGGGGACCCATGGACCAAATCTGACCTTCAGCCCTTCCATTTCTACTGTAATTTGTTTGGACCTCTCAGATCTGGTTGAGTGAGATTTTCATTAAGCTTCCTTTGTGAGTATTTCAGCTCCACTTTTAAAAGTAATTCTAGACCATTTTAACTTGAAAGGGAACTAGTTTTGAGACAGATGCACACATTGCCTCTGGAATACAGAATTAATTGTAGTTCCTACCTTTTGTCAAACATGGAAACAAAATAAGTAAGGGATAGTAGGTTTCTATATTAGATTTCTGTTGCTGTTTTCAGAACTGGAAGTCCTTTTTAAGGTCACAGTAAACTGGACAGTGCTAGACAAGGTTAACCCAATCAACTCAAACATGTATTGGGTCATGTTTAGACGGAGAAATCCTATAGCTTCCTGGACTCCCCAGCCCATATGGCTGATTAGGGTATATTGGGAATAGTAGCCTTTTTCTGTATGAATGTACATAGTATTGTGCTCTTAGGTAGGACAGCCAGCTTCCCCTCATGGTTCCATTTAGTGGTACAGAGCAGGCCTGTGCATAAGAAATAACTGCATTGCCGTGTATAAAAGGTGTAGAGGGAAGTTTGTTTTTGCTGGGGAAGCAAAAGATTCTGAGGTAGCCTGAGACCATGTCTTAAGACTTGAGTATATATCATAAAGTGACATACTAGCTTGTCTAAGCAACAACCCAGCTAGAAACTGTTGCTAGGTGAATAGCTGTCAAGTGATTGCCCTAGTGGCTGTAAGCCATTCGTCCTGAATATGTCATAGGCTGCCAAGCAACTGGCTAAAGGATGAAAGATGCCAGAATATGTCATCAAATACACTTGCGAAAAACAAATGCCCTCTGTGCCGAGCAGAACAGACAGTGCAAAAAAGGACAGACAAAATACAAGTAGGTACATGGTGTTTTAATCTTGGTTCTATAGTTACAATATTTCAGTTCTATTTTTAAACTCTTAAGCCAGTCCTTGCCTGCTTACTCTTAAGTTGGAAGTTACTGTATAATTCAGTTCCAGATTTTATTTTGAAAATACTAGAATTATACTCGGAATACTTGGTTTTTAGGAAGATTGAGGAAACACAGCACCTGCTTTATCAGCTAGCTAAATAGCTTTGCTACTGACAATTTGTGTGACACTCAATTTCTTTGTGGCATTCTAGGATGACAGCAGCTGAATCAAGTATGGTATTTTTGTTACTAAAGAATACAGTTCTTTGTGGTTCATACTTTTAAGTATGGCAGCCTGCTAGAATGGATAAGACTGCTAGAAAAGGGGAGTCCTATTTTGCCCCAGAAGCTGGACTTGCCACTGTTCCCCCAGATCAGATCCCTTCTAGATGTCCTGCTGTTATTGGTCCTCTTAATTACTATTCTATCTTACCATTATTCTGGTTCTTCTGCTTATTTTGTGTGATTTTGCCTATTTAGACTCCTGTCCAGAAAATATAAAATTGATCTTAATATAGGAAATGTACTTCTACTTCCCTTGGTACACATTTTGACTTTTTAAAATTGTGTCCTCAGTTGTATTTTGGGCTTATTTATACATTACATTTATATACTGCCTATTGGGAAAAAAACTGGATAGTTCACAGACCATTGATGAAGCAATCAATGAGGAATGGAGAAGAAAATCCTTAAGGCCTACTTATTTGTTTCATTTCTATACCTCCTGTCTGGGTGTTTCAATGATTTAGTTGGTATATTCTTAAGTTTTTTTAAACAAAGTTTACAAATAAACTTACTATAGTTTTCAGCTTTGTTGAAGAATGTCATGGTGATTACATTTTATTATTTAGGTGACTTTCTGGGGATCAAATAAAGCATTTACCTTGTAAACTGCCCAGAGAGCTTCAGCTTCAAGGCAGTATAGACATTAAATAATTTGTACATTTGAACTCTGCTTACAAGTTGAACATTAGTTGTACTCTTCCCCAGTCTACCACCAAAACAAAACTCAGTGCTCTGATCTAAAAGCAACAAACAAATCAAGGTATTTGCATCAGCTGACTTTCGAAAACACCATTTCAGTGATAAAAATGAATCCCTATTTCTTAAAGAGAGGAAAGTAAGTGGAATAATAATAGCAAATAAGTTTCATGTTTTGTTTGGTGTTAGTTCTTGCTGTGTTCTCTAGATGGCAGACTTGGAATACTGTTAAGAGTTTTCTCAAGAACCCGTGGAGAAAAAAATAAGAGCTCATAGCCTGAACTTCTAAATTCTTCTAAATTCTAAATAAAAAACCATTATTGACTAAAGTCCCACAAGATATAAAATAACCCTATCTCAGACATTTCTGTGGAAAAAACATAACTTGCATTAACAATTAAGAGCAACAAGAAAATGAGTGGTAATAAGGACTAGAGCTTTTGTTCATAAGTATTAGCCTGGTCTCTTTCTAGGAAATATTTTAACCTTATAGCTGCAGTGGTTATTATAGAATATCTAGACTTTATCTAGTGCTTCTGTTGTGGTGGTCACATTTTCCTTCAATTTAACACAGCAGTTTATTTCCTTCCTGGCCTATCCTTCTATTTTGCTTATGAATGTTGTATGAGACATTGTCACAGAAGCATTATAGACATTATTGTACAGCCCCATTTGTCACATCCATATGATTGCATAATTTTGAAATTAGCACTTCCCTGCTGTAATGCTAACACCTAGGATGCTTCAAGTAGCTGTATTACCCCAAATAGGTAGCAAATTGCAAATTAGTGTTCTATAGGTATTTTAACTGGAGAAAACTTTTGAAAGGTACCAAATTGAATTATAGTCTGTTGGCTTGTTACTACTACAAAAAGTTTATACACCGTACTTGGGTACCCAATGACATCGAACAGCATCTTACAACATGTATACATACCATACCAGACTACTATAGAGCTAGAGAATCTTTTTTCTACTGAGGACTACATTTTACAGAGGTAATTCATCATGAGCTCCATGCTGGTGGTGGGCAAGAGTAGGGCTGAAAGTAAGAATGGTTTCTAACATTGGAGGATTCTCTCTCCGCCACCCTAGCTTTTCTTGCAGGCTGCAAAAAATTAGGCAGAGGTTTGCATGTGGTCTTTGTGTTACATGTTGCCCAGCACTGCATTACTTTAAGCCTTGTAATGCAGTGTGCCAAATTAGTAGCTCCCAATAGCATCAAGTGCTTTCAGTTGCCTTCAAGAAAACATGAATCTATCAAAATGTCATTGTCTAATGATGTTCTGTATGACTGCGAATAATTGTGTCAGTCATTGGTGTAATAGTAACCTCTCATAAAAACATTTAGAGACATAATTTAGGAAGATAACCACCCATCCCTTGTTCCATATTTCAGACCACCTATACCTAAAAGCACTCAAAGAGCACTTAAAACTTTAGTTAATTTAGTTTAGTTACTTAATTGTGTGTGCTGTAGAGTGCAATTGTGCATGCTGTAGGTGTAAAATAGAGGAAGAGAGGAAAAAAATGCCTCTTTGGAGATCTATAAATACGTAAGCAGATGTATAATTGTATTAAAACATATGTGTTTGAAAATGCCAGTAAAATGGCCATCTAAGTGTTTTGCTGTGACAAGTGTGAAGGCAACCTTCACTTTCATGTTCCTTCTGCCTTCCATAGGATACCTGTAATCTTCTGAGTTTGGGAGGGTTATAGGCAGCAACATTGGCTTGCACTTCCCACTGTCCAAAAGATGATAAACAATTGGAATTAGTAGAAATGACACATTGATGCAGGCAAGAAAAGTCCTTGATCATTCTAAGGAAAGCTGTATTCCTCCAACATTTCTACATTGATCAAATGCTATTTTCCCCAGAAAATCATAGTTAATCTGATGTAAGCTTGGCATTTATCAAACAGCATGTATATGTGCCTGTAAGCATTCTAAACATGTTTACATGATGCCTGAAATATAAGCATATCTCTCTTTTCTAAAACACGTGAATCATAATGATATTATCAATATGTTTAAATAAAATACAACAAAAGGGATTCTTAACATATTATTTGCTCAAATCAATTACTGTAAAATTATAAGCATCTGGATGCTATCTTCATTCTGCATTGGAGGGTGCTTTTCCTTAGGATAAGCCAAGAACAGGGCTATTTCTATTTGTGAATGTATACAATCTTTTATAATAAGAAATATCTTAGAAATCTTTTGGATAAGGCTTAGTCACCTATGGATAATAGTTGGACTTAACATATACTTACCTGTTCTCATAATTTGTCATTGAAAGAATTGCAAGATTTCTCTGCTCTGGGCAACTATAATTTTGTAATGTTTTCCCCTGTATCTGCTTTATTTACAGCTTTATTTGCACATAGCATGATGAGAGAAAACACAACTTTCTCATCTTTGTTGGATAAGCATTACTCTCACTTTGCATCTTCAGCATGATACCATCATTTTATGTCTCTGAGTTATGTTTTGTACACATCCTAATTAAGTACCTGAAAGCATTGTCCTTGATTTTGCAAATTTAAGATTTAAGGCCTAATCCATTGTGAATATCTCTTGTGCAAGCCCCATGGAAATGAATGGGCAAGCTATTGCCCTCTTATACCAATGATATATGAAGGAAGAAACAAATTGGAGAGTTATTAACAACAGTAAGTGAAATGTATGATAGTGAAAAGATCATATTTTTGCTTTCTGATCATAGCATACTTTTATATTTAGACTGGATAACTTGCTGTTCAGGCCCAGATCCTTAGGAAATAAGGGTCAAGTTCAAGCAATCTTTTATCGGGCTGATTATTTGTATTAGATATGTCCCTGTAGGAAAAAAGGTGGAGACTTGTCAAAAAATTACTTCTAAAAGGAACCACAATTTTGACAGCCATGAAAACTTTGTGCTTCAGGAAAAAAGAATGTGAATCACTT